CCATCTGGAACCTTAGAATATGACTTTTTTTTTTTTTTTTTGAAATAGGTTCTTCATGGATGTGAAGGTAAAGATTGAGAAAAGATGTTACTGGATTAAGGTGAGCCCCAAATACAATGAGAGTTCCTGATGAGGGTGGAGGAAGAAATACCAACCATGCATAGACAGAGACAGAGATTAGGATTATGTAGCCGTAAACCAAGGGATGCCAGGAGCTATCAGAACCTGGAAGAGGCAAGGGAAGATTCTGTTGGCACCTTGACTTTAGATTTCTGGCCTCCAGACTGTGAAATAATAAATGTCTGTTGTAAGCTGCCCAACTTGTGGTAACACGGGGGCCCTGGGAAACCTGTGCAGCCTGTATCTGGAGAGAAATGTGAAAGTCCTACAACAGAGCAAGAATGACTACATTGAGATACACTCTCCATTCATTCCTCCACTTCATCTACGAGATGTGGTCACAGTAATAACAGTGTGGCCCATGCCAGGCTTTCACGGAAACTATGTTACCTCTAATTRGCTTATCATCTAAACAGCATCAAATTTCTACCAGGGAACAAGCCGGGGAGGAGATGTTCTGGTGTGTGTAACTAAAATGCTAGCATAGAACTTTCTAACTTCAGGCCCAGTTTGATATAAGAGTTCAAACAATATCACTAGAATCCAGTCTCTGTTGATTCTACTTCTCACGTTGGTTTTATTCTCAGATTCCCTCTGGTTACCAGATGGTTTCCAGAAGTTCTAGTTCCACATTCTCTTAGCTTCAAATCTAACCTTCAAAGGCAAGTAGCTCTGAAGAGTGAAGCTCAGGTTAGAAAACACAAATCACTCTGGGTACTCCAAAAAGAGGAAACTTAACATGAACTTGGTTTTATAGGAAATGGAAAAGCTGCAAAGATAAACAGGAGCAGATGAGATAACCCAGATATGAGCCATGTTACGCAGCCACTACAGTCCCAGGGCCTGGAGGTCAAAAAGAGGAGTTCAGAGGCCAGTGCCATAGGCATTAGGGCAGGATTTGCCCAATAGGACTGGGAGCCACATGAGAGATATGATCTGAGAGAGCAAGGGAGAAATACCTTGGCTTTCCTTTTGTTCCCATCCTCCAATTTTTCACCAGTGCTTTTGAAAGGGTAAAAGAAACTGAAGTCAAAATGTAAAGGACCAGGTATTGTAAAGCTTCTAAGCTGCAAAGCCTGAGTTAAAATGTAAAGGACCAGGTATTGTGAAGTTTCTGAACTGCACACAGAACTTGAAATTCCTGTAGCTGTTAAGACAATTCCCGGGACTGCCCATTAGATATGTGTAGGAATTCCCCCTGACCACTTAGTTGTTTAACAACTTGGGCCCAGTGCAGCTCAGCACGTAGGCACCTCAGGGCCTAAACCAATCAGTTTGAATGTGTACCCCGCTTTAGGACTGACCTATCACCCCCGCCAGACCTGTTCCCGCCAATGAATGGACTAATCATGTTTGAGAGTTGTTGTTCAATTTTCCTGCGCCTCATGATGATTTGCTCTGATGTATGCAAAGCCCCGCCCTCCCCAAAAAGTGTACTTAAGCACTGCTTAGCCCCTGCTAGGGGCTCTGGGCTGCTCTCCCTTCTTGAGTGAGCATGGAGCCCCAGCATGCTGGATCTTCAATAAACCCCCTTTTGCTGTTGCATGAGTCGGTCTCTTGGTGGTCTCTTCCTCCTTCGCTCGCTGTCCCTTACACTTTCTGTTGATTGAACCTGCCAAAGCCAGTTGACAGGCGAACCTATGGAATGCAGCCTGTTAGGGGTTAACTCTCCCTCCCAGGATAAACACAGCAAAGAAGGGGAAAGGGGGATGGATCTGAAAAGAATTAGCATACATTTGTGAGGTTTTTTGCTGTGACCATGCTATATAAAACAATGCCCAATTTCCAGTAGCTTATAAGAATAACCATTGATTTATCTTGCTTGGAGATCTGCAAGTTAGCTGATGATGGAAGTGGGGAAATGCTGCTTCAAACCATAGCTCAGGTTTAGGTACACACCTTCTGACTCTTATTCTAGTACTTGCAGCTATCCAGGGCATGCTTCTCACAGCAGATGGCAGAAGTACAAGAGCAGCAAGTAAAAACATGTGATGTCTCCTAAGGCCTCAGCTCTGAACTGGCACACTGTCACTTCCACCCACATTCCATTGCCTGAAGCAAGCCACAAGGACAAATGTAACATCAGTGGGCATGATGTGTGTTCTACCTACTCTGGTGAGAGGCATTGAAATTTGACAAGGCAAAGGTCTGGGCATAAACTTCTATGACAGAAAGAGGGTGAAAAATTTGGAACAATAATACAGCACAGAGACAGGAAAATGCCAGGCACTTCTGGCTTCCCGAAAATATCCCAAGCAAAAGATCTCGTTTTCTTTAAATGGGTCACGTGCCCAATCCTAAACCAATCACTGTGGCCCAAGATGTGTGATGCTCTGATTATACCTATTTGAGTCACATTTCTGACTCCGGAGCTGGGAATGGAATCAATCCATCCAAAATACATGACCAAGCCAAGAATGTTCAAAATAAAACCCACTACAGTCACCTAACACCCTATTGTGATATATAATCATTTACTGTATTTATTCTTTTCATGACAGGGAAAAAATAACTGTAATTTTGTAAAAAGAAAAAATATCTGGGAAAACAAATTTGACTATAGAAGAAATAGTGAAATTGGTTTCTAATTCTTGATAACAACAACAACAAAAAAAAAAAAAAACTAAAAAAACAGTTATACATACACAGACACAAATTTCCTTCAACCAGCCCTGACACCAACTGGATGTCCTTCAATTCATTTCAGTTCTGACACGAATTACTCAGACTTAGTGCCAGTCTCACAGTTCGAGGGCTCAGGACAATAAGATGGCCCTCACTTCAGACATCAGCCCAGGTTAACACTATGCTTCTGACCAACCAATTGGGTTCAATAGCTTGTTAAAGTACTTGGGGAGACATCTCAGTCCCGTGACCAGTTTATCATCAAGAATACTTCTCAGGAACAGCCAAATGGAAGAGATACACAGGACAAGGTCTGAGGGAGGGAAGGAGCACCTCCCTGTGTTTACCAACCCCCTAAATTTCCAAATCTCATTGTTTAGGGGTCTTTAAGGAGATTTCATTACATAAGCATGATTTATTAAATTATTGGCTTTTGGTGTTTAAAGCCTATCTTCAGCCCTTCTTTCCCCAGAAGTCAGGGGTTAGGGCTGAAAATTCCAACTCTTTAATCATTCAGTTGGTTCCTCTAGTTGCATCCCAACCTGAAGTGATCTAGGGGCCCACCAAGAGACACCTCATTAATAAACCTAGGAATGGTTGAAGGGAGCTTGTTACAAATATCAAAAGATTATTCTTTTAACTCTATCACTCAGGGATTTCCAAGGGTTTTTGAAGCTCTGTGTCAGGAACCAGGATCAAAATCAAAATATGTTTTGTTTGTTTTTGGTAGTTGTAGATGGACAGCATTCCTTTATTCTGTTTATTTTTCTGCGGTGCTAGGATCAAATACAGTGCCTCACATATGCTAGGCAAGTGCTCTGCCACTGAGCCACAACCTTTGCCCCAAAATATGTATTTCTTATAGTATCATAATTGGTTTTCCATATGGTAAGCATCATTGTTTGCTATTATAAGGTCATAATCATTTTAATAAATCTAGATCTACAGGATTAACCTTCTAGCTCTGTCCACAGCACCCTCACAGTCCCCATGTCTCACAACTTCCCCCAAAAGATACCTTGTGATCTGGAGACACCAAACCACACACAGTTCCCCAAAGCTGCATCTACCCTTTGAGACACTCAGAAATTTATTTGTCTTAAGTGTCTTTTCCTCACCGGCCCTCTCCCCATGGGCCTGCCTATATTCTCACTTGCTTCTTCATTAATCAACTATATCCCTTTAATCACTGGAGGTAGATATCTTCACTTTACAAAGGTGAAGCTAAAGTTTAGAAAGGAATGGTGCTCCTTGCCATTGTCCTAAAGATTAATTTTGGTCTTCTGGGGTATCTGCATAATTCCCACCTTCTTCCTGGTGCCCTTCTTTCACCTTGACTCCTAGCCATGGAATCCAGGGCTATCCTTTGAAACCTAAAGGAAATGCCATCTTCTCCAAGACTTTCCCCAATTGGGTAAGCCCACAGAGCTTTTCCTCTGCACCCCAGGACATCCCCTCCAGTTGATTACTGGGTCTTGATCATTTTTGTATCCCTCATGGAGTTTTACCAAAAAAAAAAAAAAAAAAAGCATGCACTTAATTGTATCAAGATAGAATCCACTCCCTTTTCCACTGTCTACTTATTTTTAGAACTTCAGGGTTGCTTTAGTATTTTAATACAGAAAAAAAAACCTCTTTGTTTGCTAGGCAAACACCATTTTGGCTGACTTCAGGAAAAAGGAAGATTTAAGATCATCATTTATAGAAGGTGTGTTTTTGTATTCACCAAAGAATAATGGGGAGAAGAAAGCAGCCATAGAACAATGAAGGAAGGAAATGAACTAATTCCTGCTTTGGGGGAAGTATACAACAGCTGTGCACCCAGCTGTAGGAGTGTTTTCAAATAGCAAAACAAAACAAATGCAAAAGTGATTAATTGTATACACGGGAGCCACTAGTGAGCACTTTAAAGAGAGATAAGGGTATGTTCCCTCACTGTAGTTATCTGCCTGCTCTCAATTTGTAAATGCAGTGTCAAGACTGTAACTAGGGAGAAAAGGGATGCCTCTAGGGGATATTTTACATGAAAATCATTAACTTTTCTCTATTCTATTCTCTTTGAACTTCAAAGAAAATGAAATGATCACAGGGCTATTACAAATGAAAGAATGTGCACCATGACTTCTCCAGGCTCAAGAAAAGGACCATTTAGTTATAAAGATTTATCTTTCTGTAAAAATTACCGCTCCCCAGTTCTACAGGATGTCTTACATCACTTAAAGAAATATTTGTCAAATTTTGTTCCCAGAGAAGAGCCTTTTGCCATTATGTTCAGTTTATTGCTAAAATTGAACACAACTCTTTAACAAAATAGAAGCAATAGAGTAAGAGAAAGAGCAAAATGGGTTTCCCCCAGTTCAACAGACAGAATAGAAGTGACAATCAATTTAATTAGGCAACAGGGCATGCCAATTAGAAAGTAGGATTCCCTGAAGCCTTGTAAGATATAATATAGAGAAGTAATTCTATCTAACCTCATATTTACAGCTGTGGAAGTTATATAATTACTGCATAAATATTCATCAAGATTTTTGAGTGAAACCAGGTACAAATGAAATAAAGGGAAGTCGTACATCAGATTTATATCACAAGGGGGGAAAGGAGCTCAACACTGCACATCCCAGATTTCACAGAGCAGTGGGGTAAACTTGTGATCGTTCACTCTCCATGACATCAGCATCTCAGCGTGGTGATGGTTGAATGTCCGCAATTCCGTCAGGCGACCCAGAAGACAGGCAAAATGCTGAGGATTTTCAGGCTGATGAATCTTGCACAGTTTTTGTAACACATCGAGCAGTGGTTCCTGAAGTTTCTCCACTGCCTCTCTATCCTTTATGTATTGTCTATCTGTTTTAGAGTTTAAAATAAAGTGACAAAATTAAAAAGTGGGAAAGCGTTAATTTGGCATATTATAGCAAGGTTAACTTTTGGGAAATGCACATGTACACTCAAAATGTACAAATTAATATACACCCATGCAATCACATGTACATCAAGATATGAACATCTAATGCTCCCAAGAATCCCCCTTAATGTCCCCTCCCACCAAAGCCCCTGAAGGTAATCCATGTGATAGATATAAGTACCCTTTCTGATGGGTATAATCCCAGGGGTGAAATTGCTGGGTTAAAGAATATCTATGTGTGTAATTTTAGGAGGAGGTTCTGCCCAACAGTCAGTCTTTCTTTCTTTCTTTCTTTCTTTCTTTCTTTCTTTCTTTCTTTCTTTCTTTCTTTCTTTCTTTCTTTCTTTCTTTCTCACTAACTGTTTATGGCTTAAAAGAAAAAGAGCAATTAGCTTCTGCCTCAATATCATGCATAAAAATGGCTTAATAATTTTTTTTCTTTGTGGTGTTAGGGATTAAACCCAGGGAGCCTTGTGCATGTGAGGCAAATACTCTATCAACTCAACTATAGCCCCAGCCCTAAAAAAAAAAAAAAAAAAAAAAAAAAGTTTAAGGCAAGCATTATAATTGTGCTTTACAAATCCTAAACATGGCACAATCCTGGCATTACTTGCTCCCAAATACACTTACAAGTGAATTTTACGTACAAAGGTATCAATATTGTTTAAGACAAGAAAATCGGAAGCATCACACTATATAAACATATGGTAAAGATTTAGTAATTGTACATCCATACAATGGATTATTATGCACACATTATAACAAACTTTTACCAATATAATCATAACAGTTTACAATTGTAAATTAATACAACTGTAAAATAATTGGAATGACTTGGAAAAGGTCTATTGACGAGCTATAAACTTTTAAAAAGCATAATATGTTCTCTATTATTATTATTATATGAAGTACATAATTTATTATTTATTTATTCAATACCAGTGATGCTTACCTACCAAGGACTATCCCTAGCCCTTTATATATTTTATTTTGAGATAGGATCTTGCTAAGTTGCTTATGGCCTCACTAAATTGCTGATGCAGACATTGAACTTGTGATCYTCCTGCCTAAGCCTTCTGAGCTGCTGGAATTACAGATGTGCATCACCACGCCTGGCTAATAATTTCATTTATAACCCTGCTCAAATGTCAACCACTTAGAAAAGACTTCTCTGACCACTATTTAAAATATCATTATCCTACCACTTTCTTTCCTTATATTCTCATCATTACATTTTTGGAAGCATTTTCTATCTCCTGAAARTTTATTTTTATCAGTTTCATCATTTAGTATCTTCTTTGTACTAGTAGAATGTGAGCCTCATGGGAGTTGTATCTTATCATATCCCTAATGTCTAGCACATAGTATATGTTCAACATGCATTCACGGGATGCACAAGGGTGATGTTTGGGAAAAAAAAGATTAAGAAATACACTAAAATGTTAACAATGGCTCTATTTGAATGGTAGAACTACAGAGCATTTTATTTGTCCTTTATGTTTCTGTGTTTTCCAAATTTCCTTTAATAAACATTATTACTGTTATGCCAAGGGAAAAAAAACAAAAGGTATAAAAATTTAATGCCAACTTGAAATTACCTGGAGAGAGGATAACAATCGCTGTAAGGAGAGCATACTCTTCTTGAGTCATTTTCAATTCCCCAATACTTTTATAAAAACTAAACATAGGTGTGATATAGTCATCAGAGATACCTACACGAGAAGGTTGAAAAATTACAATTATAGTAATATTTTTTAAGGACTAAAAAGCTTAAAACTAGAAACACATTACATAAACATATGATGATCTCTATCCCCAGAGGTGCACATTTAAATAATCATATAATTTAAATTCAGTCAAAAGCAGAACATGGCATAGAAGACCAATTGATAAAATCCTCAAAGTACAGATTTCAGCCGTGTCTTTGTTTCAGTCACTACTGTCTGACATTAAATAATAATGCTTTTGAATTGCTAGAAAGAATTTCAAAATTTCACCATTTTCTAGATGGAGCTTAGTTAAATCTTGCTTAATATTTATATCTATAATCAAGGCATAGATGGCATCTTAAACAAATGGCAAAAAAAGTTGTTCTTTAGTCCAGAAGTATTGACAGCTCTGTTGAATACACTGGCAGTGTTCCTATCAAAGGATTCCAATCTCTGGCCAGAGCAGCAGGCCTACTTGCCCACTGCCTACTTGGCAAAGGTACTTGGCTGTTCCCTTCAAACTCAGTACGTCCAAAATCAAAGATATCATGTACTGAACTCTCTCACCTTCCTCTAAAGCCACTTCTTTCCTGGTTTGCCATTCTCAGTAACTGATATCTTTACCCACCCCATTGCCCAGGCCTGATAACTGGGACCCAGGTGGCTGGTCTTATGGATTCTCCCTTCTCCCCTCACCTGTTGCTCTCTCCACTCTCCATGTCTCCTGGCACTGGCTGAGTTAGCTTAAAGTCCCATCTCTTTCCATCTGGGTTACTGCAAGTACCCCCTCAATGTACCCCCTCAAGGACTTCCTGTCTTCACCTTGTTCCTCTTCAATGACCTTTCTAAAATTCAAACCACACACTTTCTCCCCACTTCTTATAAGTCTTTCCATGGCTTACAACTTCCATGATTTTTGCCACAAATTTTTAACTTTCTTCCTTGACTCTGCCCCAGCCATCCCTAACCGTGTGGGCCTCCTCCATGTTTGTATAGTCACTGTGACACTCGACACGACACAACAGACACTTGTGACAGGCTCTCTTTCTGTTTTCCAAAACACTAAATCTGGCACACGTTTAGTTCTGGTGTGCACCTGTTTTAGTGAACATCTGTAACTTTCTTGTCTCCTACCTATGGAGAGCCAGCACCTGGTCTATGCAAACTGTAAAAAAAACAAACAAACAAACAAACTGTGGCACTGTCTTTTTTTTCTCTTTTCCTTTTCCCTGTATCATCAGATACCTTCTTTGTTTCATGTTCCTCTTTGATCTATCCTCTATCCAGGACACCAGAATGACCTTCATAAAATTCAAACCACACACATCTCCCCACTTCTTACAAACCTACTGATATCTGATCCATTGGTGAGTCTCTGGAAAGAAATCCCTATAAGTCCTAGCATTGACTGTTTGCTCCAGCCAAGAGACAAGATTCTAACAAAGAGTTCTAAAAGTAGCATTAGGCAGCAATTTTATTATGTAAGGACCCTTTTTATAAGACACCCCCCCCCAGAACCCACCCCTGGTAATAGTAGGAGGCCATATTTGTTGAGTACTTATTATGTTTTAGGCACTGTTCTAAGTACTTCTTATGCAATAATTAACCTTTCTAACATCTCATAAAGCAGATACAGAGAGGTATATGACTTGTCCAAAGTCACACAGCCAGTGAGAGGTAAACCAGAATTCAAACCAAAGCTTGTGGGCTTTGTCTAAACTGCCACTGCTTTTCTATCCAGCACCCTTATGTCTAGCCATGTTCAGCCACTTGTTCCCATAACAATTCAATCTGTTCTGTTTCTGGATGTATTGTTCTCTCTCCTTGGAATATCATTTTTCTCCTTTATCTAGCTTACTCCTCTTCATAAGTTAAGATTTCTTTGTGTCTGCTCAATCAACAAATATCAGCTTGGTGCCTGTTCTGTGCATGGCTCTACTCCAGAAGGGCCTTTGGCTGGGAAATCAAGGAAACAGAAAATACTGTGATGTGACTTATAGATGAATTAAGATGAGGATGCATCTCCCAGGATTGGTCCAGATGAGAACAGACTGCTCTATTCCTTTCCAAACCGGATCTAAAGCCAAAGAGCCTTGGCTGAACTGAACCAAAATAAAATTTGATTCTGAATGCTGAAGAGTACAATTATCAATTTTATTGGTACACTTTATAGAAAGTGAATTTATTAGAAAGTCTAAATCTTCACTTTAGAAGACTATGAAGAATCTTCCCCAAATAAATCTTGGGCCTTTCCCTCTCTAGTCAATGTACCACACTCTTCTCCCCTTTACTTCTGATTCTTTAATTGACCCCAGTGGGCTCTCTTGACAACAAAGTCTTTGTTGAGCAACTTGGGGATTTCATCATGTGGAAGGGTGCCCTTTATTCAGCTGTCACAGATTGAACTGAATCCCCACGACCAAACTGGATACAGTTTAAAAAGCTGTGGACTGGAGTATGTGAGTCTAGAAATACAAGTCCTGGCTCTCAACACAGTGCGTAGGAGGCCATGCGCCAGCTCTGAGTGAAGTCTGACTCCACAACTTAGTCTTGGGCACAATGCTTAAACTTTTTAAGCCTTAGGTCTCTTATCTGTGAACTGTGAATTATATAACAAAAAGATTGCATGAGATAATGTGTCAAGAGTGTTTAGCACAATGCCTGGCTCATAAAAAAAACCCTTGATAAATGTTAGAGCAAATAAGCACAAAACCTACTGTTGTTATTCAGGTGAACTCAATCCACAGATTAGTTCATCTTAAACTCAGTTCATTTTAGCCTTAGATTAAATTTAATTTTACCTTTACAAAGTTATGTGTTTTTTAAAGAAAATCATTCTGTATATGACTGAGAAGGAATACAAATAAGCTGATCAGTGATTTGCCTCAAAAGATTCCCAGATATTAAAGGTAAACTAAAATCTGAATTTTTCTCACTAAGATTTTCATTTCTAACTTCAAAAAATGGCTGTCTTTATGCTCTCTTGAGCATGCATGGACTTTATCCACCAGTCATAGTTACCTAAAATAATAATTCATCACTATGCCATAATCTTAAATAGTACATGCAATTTGGAAGTGATATTCAAGGCAGCTGATTTTAAAATGTCCAATTTTTAGAAATCATCTTTGAATACCTAATTTCCTGGTTCATTTGTCTTTCTAAATCCCCACTTAGCCTTCAAAAATGTTACTTTAATTAGCTATCTAATTATAGTTGATACTATTTGAGGAAAATTGAGTTAAAATGTTTATTATGTTTCATTTTGTGCAAGTTGTAAAAGCCCAGTATTATAAATATAGAAAAATGTAGAAAACCAATAATAGAGTTCTTAAAAAATAATAATTTTCCAATAGGATGAATCAAATATAAATGTGCTTTGGAAAKTAGAGTCAACAATCATTAACCACACAAAAACTAAGGGTGTGTTTTCAAGATTTTGGGAACCAGGGATTTCTAAAATAAGTGTAATGACAACATTATCCTGAAGGGGGCAGCCTTTTCCAGTTTTTTCAGCTTCCTCCTACTTCCTAACTGCTTTCTTAAAATTTGCTTCGTTTTTGCTCTTGTGACCAATTAGTTGATTTTTGGTCACTAGAGGGGGCTATTTTCTAACTCAGTTGCCAAGACTTTGCCATGAAAAACTCTGAAATTGTTAAAATAACAACAAAATTTCTATTTTTACTCCCTAGTTTATTTATTTTCCCTTAAAGAGTTCTGTGATGGATGAATAAATTATTCAATTATCAGAAATATTCTCTTAGAGAATAACCATTTGACACAATTAACACTATCTTGCTTTATTTTAAAATGAATTGTCTTTTGTCTCCAAATTAACTTCCTAGCCTTAATTAGGAACCACAACAAAAAAAGTGGCTTATTTGTATGTGTGAGTGTGTATTATATACAAGGATACATATTATACAAGACCAATTTCCAGTTTTGTAAATACCTCTTTTTGATTTACTTTAACTGAGGATCCCACCTTGTTAAAAAATGAGGCTTTTTGCAGACCTATGTAATTTTTTAATTCTTTCAGTAATGATGCCATCCCATAAGCCTCTGACATAACATACAAGGTTGTATCTGCTTTCTGCTTTCTGCTTTCCTTTCAGACTAAACTCTTGCCCTCCCAAAGCTTTCTTCTGAACTAACTTCTGGGTTCCTAAAGGTGATTCAGTTTGTTGCCTACACTACATATCTACCTTCCCCAGCCCAGCCTCATGACCATGTAGGTGGAGGGAGATCCTGGCTCCCACCCACAGTCATTTCCCATAGCAGAGGTTGGTGTAGTCAGGAAGAGCAGTGCAATTCTGGCTAATGAGACTGAAGGGGAAATCTCTACTGGGATGCTCCTTAGAGAGATTTCCAACCTTGGGACTCATTCCTCTCTTTCCTTTGGCCATTGTGGAGCTTGGAACTGCTGTGGCCATTAGATGACCAGGAGGAGAACTTGCCTGAGAGTGAAGCCAACACACCAAGGTTAGCAGAGGAAAAGGAACTGTGTTTCTGGTGATGTGCAGAGCCCCTGGATTAACCAATTCTGCTGCCACCCTTCCTCATTTGAGTTAACACATTTCCTTATTTTTAAGGCCATGTTGGGTTAGATTTTTCTGTTACCCTCAACCACCAGCATTTTAATAGGGATCTCTCCTAATAAATGAGAAACATGTTTTATGTCTTCACATTTTGTCCCCTGAAACATAATACAGGGTCCTTGTTAGGGTAAAGCACCCTACCCATGTTCCAAAGCCAAGTTCAACAGTGAAGCAGAATTAGTTGCTTTACTTTCCATGTTCAATTCTATGATACCTATTACAATTTGTATCTCTCCTTTCTACTGGTGTATAAAACACCATATATATATTGTATAAGAGCACGAACCAATTACTGCATCTCCAGTGCCTGGAATGTGCCTGGTCCATAAAGGCTACTCCATAGATGTTTCTTATTCATCCCTGTATCTCTAATAATATCATCTTTGTGGAGATGTGGCAAGAGAT